AATAATTTTATAATTATATTAAATATTAAATGTTTTCCGTAAAAATTATAGTCAAAAGCTGTTCAAAAAAGAAAAAATTATAGTCAAAAAATTTCAAAATGAAGTTTCTAGTTTTATATATAAAAATATTGTAGATATATTATGATTTTTTACAATTTTAAAAAAATATAATCTGAAAAAATTATCGAATATATATATACTTAAAAATACTGTATGGTTGTACGAAAAAACTTTTAATCGCAATTCCAAACGCAACATAAATCCCAAAATGGAAGCAGAATTCGTAGTAATTTGTTTAGAAATCTAGACTCAATCAACCAATCCATTTTCAATTATCTGTGGACGAATAAATTTACGAACTAGAATTTACCTTCCCATATATATCTAAACCTAACGGAAATTATCAACATTTACAATGTAATGATTGAGATGATATTATATTTAGTAATATCCTCTTAACCAATGAATTTTTTAATTTGTACTTGTTAATAATATAAAATTTAGACATATTGAGGTGGATCAATATCTCTCACCTTTGTTGGTTAGATTTTTTTTTTTTTTTTTAGAAGGTGGTGATTTATAAAGTAGTAATTTTTTTTATACATTTTGTAATCTCACCATGGAAAATTGGATATTAGACAATTTGCCTTTGAATACACTAGAGCGTGGAATTAGCTACACTGTAACCTTGTCTTGCAAAGCTTTTTATAAATCGTTTTTACGCAATATTTTTATTAATTTTAATTGATATTTTATATGGTTTTAAGATAATAAAAGAAAAAAAGAAAACTATGTTTACAACAAAACACTAATAAATAAGGACAAAAATAAAACAAAAAAACTCAAATGAAACCTAAAATATCCAAGAAAAGAAAAGTTATACTCCTAATCGAAAAATGAATGCGAAGCAAGATGTTCTTGACCCAAAATAAAAGGCGAAATATTTGTACTTTTGTTTTTAATTTTGAATATGTAAAAATCAAATTATAAATTTATAATTAAAAATATAAATAATTTTAACATCAAATTAAATCGCATAGTTACACACACAACTTCGACTGTTTTAATCAAATGCACTTAACTCATGATTTCAATCAAATTTCAAAACTGCAGTGTAGAACTCTTTATCCCTTCCCCCCTCACATTCCTCTTGTTCAAAAAAAAAAAAAATCAAATCACATAATTAATGGTGTACTTTGTAATGTTGCAATGTCAAACCAATGATCTGGTGAGGATAACACCAGTGTTAAAAACCAAGAAGATAGAATCACCACGGTGATGGAATTGTTCAATGAGTTTCTCTTTTCTTGTAGCTTTACCTCCATAGTCCACCCTAAATAATATTTTTTATTTTTTCCTCCCACCTGCTTAAATTTCAAAGTTTGGTTTATCCCAGCAATTACAGTAAAATAAACGCAACAACGGTGTGAAAAGGAAGAAGAAGCACATCAAATCATCTCTTCTTATTCCCTATCAATATCAAACCCAGGTGGCTTCATAGAAAGCCATAAACAGTTAACTCTGATTTTCAGCTCACAGTCAAAAGCCCAGTTGCCATTACCCCCCAAGACCCACTTTCTGTCTTCCAAGAAACTTCAATCCCCGGATCCTCAGAAGTCAATTTTTTGTTACATGTTTTCGTTGATTTCAAAGATTATTTATCCACTGGCTAGGGACTTCAGGATTTTCTTATAAGTTTTATGCCCTGTTTCCCCTGTTTTTGCAACCTCGGTCCCGCTTTCATTTGAACCAAATATGAATCTTAAAGATCCACTCATCGTAACCCTGGTGTTGTTTCTTCTGGTAATCTCAACTCAGGCGGCCAAATGCGATCGATCCTGCGGCGGCAAGCGGTTGCAATACCCTTTTGGATTCTCGGCCGGCTGCAAAATCCCTTTAAACTGCTCAAACAGCAGTATCATGGTCAACAACTTTCGGGTCATCGACGTTAATTCTGATAGTATAAGGATTAGTATCCAACCCAAATGCAACCGATCCCTCCAAGCCTTTCACGATCTCTACGGCAAAAACTACGCACCATCGTCTCGGAATGCAATATTATTAGACAACTGCGGTGACTGGTCAGCACAGTGCGCCATTCCGAACTCCATGGTGCGAACTCGATTTGAGACGGGCAATTGCAGCTCCAACAGCAGTAATAACATCAGTTGTTATATGGAGAATAGGCCTGATACTGATGGCTTTGTCAATTACAACAAACTGAGTCGCTGCCGGTATTTTCTGTCGGTTATATCAGCAGAGCCGTTTAATGATGCGGGGGTGTCGTTGGATGTTCGAATTTTAGAGCTTGGATGGTGGATTGAAGGGGATAAGTGTCAGTGTTCTGGAAATGCTAATTGTACAAAGATTTCCACGCCGAATGGACATCCGGGTTTTCGTTGCAAGTGCAAAGAGGGGTTCGTTGGTGACGGGTATCACGCCGGTAGTGGCTGCCGGAAAGGTCAGTTCTGGCTACCGAATTCTTTCTCTTGTTTTCCTATCATTAGTACTGTTCTTAATAAAGATGAAAAGTAAAAATTAACCGTACTTAACATTTAAAATGTTAAAATTTAATTAAATTATTAATTTATTAAAAATATTTAAATTTTATAATAATCACTATATTTTAATTACTAAGACATTATAATTTTTTTATAATTCTTCATTATAAATGTTCTGCCAAATATTTTTAAAAAAATTAGCAGTATAAATAAAAATAAAAAATATTAATAATTTAAATTATATTAAATTATACAATAATAACTTGGTCAATCTAAACAGTTGACTCTAAGCACAATTAATACAGATTGCAACTACTGCTGAAAAAAGAAATTTCTAAATACAATTAATGCAGATCAGTACCGTTACGGCACAAGAGGGGACTTTACTTCCAATTAATGCAGATTACAAGTACAACTCCAAATTTAAAAAATAAATAAATAAATAAAGAAAACTCGTTATTTATGATATTACTTTGACGTAGGCTTCAAAATCTGGATCTTCGATAACTAAACTTGGCCATAATCTACCAACTTAATTAGAATTAGATAAATTTTTAAAAATAATGAACAGTTCCACACATGTTTCAATTGTTCTAGTATGGTATTTTTAGATAAAATCTTAGGATAAATGGAGAGAAAACTAGAAGAAAAGGGGTGGTTGGGGCCGAAATATTTAATATGATAAATACAACAGAGTTCCTCTTTCGACTCTTAAAATCTTACGGTAAAAGTCAAGGCACCTTGGAAATAGTGTTAAGACTTGCCAAAAGCTTATTTTAATCCCCATCTTGTTAAATTTAAAAGTTTTAATTTTTTATTTTATATTATAATATTTTTAATTTATCATTTTATTATATTTATAAATTTTAGTCTCTCACTTATTAAAATAAAAAAAATAATCCTAATGTTATATTGATTATTAATTTTATTAGTTAAAAATAAATTTTTATCAATTAATACTCAACTAATAGTCAATTAATAGAATTAACGAAATATTATAAAATTAATTCTGTTAACTCCATTAACTGAAAAAAGATTTTTGACAGCTAACAATAAATTAACAATCAACTAATAAAATTAACAGTCAGCTAATAAAGTTAACAGTCAATTAATAAAATTAACAAAATATTACAAAATGAGGGTTATTTTCTTTAATTTTAATAGGTGGATGGATAAAAATAACATAGTATAAGATGAGAGGTTAAAACTTATAAATTTAGTAAAATGAGAGATTAAAAATATCATAATATAATATGAAAAATTAAAATCTTCAAACTTAATAAGGTAAAAGATTAAAAATAGACTTTTACCTCATAACATATGCTATGGAGCAAAAGATGTACATGTCATTTGTTAGTCACTATGACCTCATAAATAGCAACGAGGGACGAATTACATTATCATAGTTTAATAGTTATGTTTTTATAAATGGGACCAGTCGCCAATTATTAGTTAGTGCTGAAGGGAGCCAAATTGGTCTGAGACTCTATGGTTTCCTTCATAATTCAGACGTTGAAAGGCCTTTTGTATTCATCTTTTAGTTTATTCAACTGTTTTTGGGGTAAGCAACAATATAGTATTGGAATTTAAGATGGCAAAGGTAAGTGGTTTCACCTAATCCATGTGAGGGACCCCTCTCGCTGCTCTTCATTGTGATACAATCTGATATGCCTATAGAAAAATGCGAACAAAGTCCACTCTCAATCAGTACATACAGATAATCAAGACCAAGACTTTTGATGCCAAAGTCCTAATCGTTTAGATAATCACAAAATAATATATTCAGTCGTTGAAATGGGATTTCTAGAACTTAATTTTTTTATGTTTTTATTTTTTAAAAATAAGTAATTATAGTTTAATAGGAGAACGAAAATAATTTAATTAATTATAATAAATTTCCTTCTCTTTCTCAAATCTAATGAGCTTTACTATATATTTAAGTTAGAAGGAATAGAGAGAAGGGAAGGAAAGGGAAGGAAAGGGAAGGCGAGGAGAAGGTAATTTTTTTTTTTTTTTTTTGGTTAACAAAATATATTACATTATTTTTACTCTTAATTTACTAATATATCCAAGTAAAATAAAAAAAAGAGAGGGGAGGAAAATAGAAGATAAAATTTTCATTTCCTCTATTCCTTTCGAACCAAACATGTGGTCAGGGATTTTTTTATTTATTTTAAGTTACATAATAAAGACAATCTTTTTATTTTTTTAATTCATACTTATTTATATATCATATGATTCAAAACTAAAATCCCTTATTTTAAGTAGAAAGAGATTACAATTACTTAGTTCATTTGCAAGGATTTCTTGTCTAGTCCCAAACTGATTTTGTTTACATTTTATGTTCAATAGAATCAATACAATGAGAAATTGGATTCTGAAACCATTTTTCCGTTTTGATTTTTTCTTATTCCATTGTTCAGATTGCACACTAGCAAAATTCCTGTCGGGCAAATGTGGAGGGACGATCAGGGTTGTTGTCTTAGTCGTCGGTAAAAAAAAAAAACCGCTCCTATTGTTCTTGCATTATTTCTGGTAAGAATATATGCACTAACTCCTACTGTTCACTGCCATCTTGTTTCTCAGGCATTGCTACTGGAGCTTCCTTGATTGTTTGCATAGGCCTGCTATGCTGGATAATGAAACGACGATCCAGTACGAAATCTAGAAACATTATCAAACGCTGGTTGTCTGCAGCTAAAGGTGCCAACATCAGCATCCCCATCTACCCTTACAAAGAAATAGAGAAAGCCACAAACAATTTTTCAGAAAAACAGAGGCTCGGAAGAGGGGCCTATGGAACAGTGTACGCCGGAAAGCTCAGCAACGATTTATGCGTCGCCATTAAAAGGATAAATAACAGAGGCACCGACAGCATTGAACAAGTAATGAATGAGATCAAGCTCCTCTCCACCGTCAGCCACCCCAATTTAGTTCGCCTGCTCGGTTGCTCCATCGACAGGGGCGAACAAATCCTTGTCTATGAGTTCATGCCTAATGGGACTTTATGCCAGCATTTGCAAAGAGAAAGAGGTGATGGACTTCCTTGGGAGGTGCGTCTCGCCATTGCGTCCGAAACAGCACAAGCCATAGCCCATCTGCACTCTGCTATTGACCCACCAATATACCACAGAGATATTAAATCCAGCAACATACTATTGGATTGCAATTTCAGGTCTAAAGTAGCAGACTTTGGCCTTTCCAGATTGGGAAAAACCGAAATCTCCCACATTTCAACTGCCCCTCAAGGAACTCCGGGGTACGTTGATCCTCAGTACCATCAAAACTTCCATCTTTCCGATAAAAGTGATGTGTATAGTTTTGGGGTCGTTCTTGTTGAGATCATAACAGCTTTGAAAGCAGTTGACTTTTCCAGGCCCCCAAATGAGATCAATTTGGCCGCTCTTGCTACGGATAGAATCATTAAGGACCGCTTGGATGAGATCATAGACCCTTTTATAGAACTACAGAGTGATGCTTGGACATCTTCTTCAGTGCATAAGGTGGCCGAAATCGCATTCAGGTGCTTGTCCTTTCACAGGGACATGAGGCCTACTATGAATGAAGTAGCAATGGAGTTGGAACAAATCAGGTTAAGTAGATCGCCTTCCTTGGACGAAATTACTCGTGTAGTTTCAAATGAGGATGCTTCTTCCCCCTCCTCATCCTCCTCGAATCTAAGTGAACAACCGTTAAACGTGAAGATGAACAAGGAGGGTGGAGGTTTGTTAATGCTAAACAGCAGCATAGGCAGTGTGAGGTCCATGGAGAGATTGAAGGGCAATTCACCGGTTTCTGTTCAAGATCCATGGCTTAGTGAACGAAGCTCGCCTTCATCAAACAGTTTGCTTAGTAATGCAATTTATTGAAGGCCCTTCATCTCATCCCCATCAATATATCAATGTAATATAGCAGTTGTAACCCGTGGTATGAGTTAATGTTTAATGTAATATATATCTAACAAAGACATTGCAGACAAGAAAAATCGAGTAAAAGACAGTGGCGGAGCCACTAAGAGACCAGGCCCCCTCTGGTATTTTGAAAACTTTTTAAAATTGGTCCTTATATTTTACATTTTAGAGATTTCATCCTCCAAATTTTATTTTGTCTACTTAATTATTCTTAATATTTTTGAAAATAATTATCATTAATATTTTAATAAATCTTTTAATTAAATTCAAAGTAAAATATTTATATGACAATTAATAATTCTTTAAGGCTAATCTATTAAAGATAAAAATTATATATTAATTTTGAATATTTTTAGCTAAAAACTTGGTTAAAAAAACTCTAAACTTCTAATATTTTTCCATCTTGTTCTCCCTCCTATTTTGTTCTTTGAAAAGCTTTAAATCATCACCTTTATAGTGCCTAAAATTAATTTAAAATATTCATTTTAGTCACCAATATCTATTTTTTTTTCTAAATCAAATATTAAAATTTCACTTCTAATTCATAATTTTTCATTAAGTCAAATCTATTTATTTGACGTTGTCTTTGTTGTACCAATTTTTAATATGTTTCTAAATTTATGACCTTTTTTTTAGATATATTTTATTCTATAAGTTTTTTTTTTTCTCGCACAACTATAACTAAATAATTATTTACTAATTATTAAAAATTTCAAAGTACAATATATATCACAGTGACCATTGTTAAATTTGATTTTAAACAAAAGTTTATAACTTTACAACTATTTATTACTTCTTATGGTACTTTTTAGTATTCCTACTTCATAAACTTTATGTGATATGATTTGATAAGTCTATATAATAAAAAAATAATTGATATACATTTGATTGAATATACTTTTTGAAATTTATCTCAGTTTGGTTATCAAAATATAATATAAATTAATTAAAACTAAAATTTTTGTTAATCAAAATAAAAATATTCAACAAGTACTATATTTAGGAAGAAAAAAGTTTTCAATCATCATATATTTGCTAAATAAAATAAACAAGTTAAACTTAAGGTAAAAAATCAAATTAATACAATTAAAATAAATCAAAAAATAATACTTTAACAAAAAATATTTTAAAATGTTAAAAAATTTAAATTGTAAAATAATAAACTCCTAATTTAATTATCTACAAATTTAGCCCCTGCATCCTTAATCCAACCCTCGACACTGGTGAAAGACATAGAGAGTAATTGATGAGAGTATAGCCAAGATGGGCTGAGCCTTACTTTCCTGAACTTTTTGCTTAGACGCCAAGGCCCAACTTGGTTCAGCACAAATTGAAAAATAAAAAATGGTGTCGTAATTGGCACGTACTAGCAACTTCAACCAAATGAAAATGGAGAACACACGGATTTTGGGATTTCTTAGTACCTGAAAATAAGATTGGAAACAAGTCGATCGAGCCAGAACATCAAAGGCTACGAATTGTAAAAAGTCTTTGGAAGTCTTTATCATATACCAGAAAGAGTTGAAATTTCAAAGACATTAGATTTCCCAATATCTTTTTCGAACTTCCATAATTACTATCAGCATCTTCTCTTTTCCTATATTAAAGCTTTTAAATTGAAATAATTATATTAAATTTTAATTAATTTAAAATTAATTTTATAAAAAAAATTTATATTTATTTTTTATTTATAAAATATAAATTCAAAACTTTCTTTTAAAAAAACAATATTCCTTCCTTT